TGAAAACCTAAAATCATGTCGAAAAAAGGTAAATCATTTTAGCATTTTTGAGCAAACAATTTAATTATGTTCTTGAGATTTTTATGTTTATTTCAGTTGATTTGATTTGATTTAATTTGTTTTTAGTATATTTATTTTGTTTTGTTTTTATTTTATTTTATATTTAATTTCCCCTTTAATTATTTATTTTTTCGTCTTTAGTGTAGTTAAATTAGGTGAGAACTAGTTTATCAAAAGAGGCAAGTAAGTAAGTGCATTCGGCTAATTAACAATTCGACTAGTTGAAATTAATCAATTAGAAAGTAAATTAATTCAAATGAAAGTTATTGGGTGTAATTGTAGTCCTAAAAATTTAATTTCTGTTACTAGTTTATTTTGTCTAGTTTAATTTAATTATTTATATTTTCTTTAATTGATTGTTCAAATAATTTTAAGAGTAATTTTGGTAATTAATTCAAATTAAACATAATCATTGTGAAAATTATATCTTTCTTATCACTATATGACTATGTTACTTGTTCGATTCTTGCGCTTGCGAGAATTTCACGACACAATGCCAAACAGTAGTAATAACAACCCGTTCAAAAATCTTAAAATTTTCAAAAATGATTCTGTTAAGAAACTTCTAAAGAGACCAAACGGTAGCTACAATGACCTAAATATAAATATTCTGAGCTTGAGGATTCATTTTCTTCTTTAATGCCCCATAAATAAAGAAGTGATCACTCTGTGAAAAATCCATAAGTTGACTGAAATCCTCGCCAATTTTACCGCAAATGGTAACTACAAAAGCACAATGTAACCAATCAGATATTTGTGATTTTTATTGTAATTGTTGATATCTTGGAAATATTTATTTTTGTGCTATTACTATTGGCAACAAAACTATATCCGATGGAAATGTCATATATGATAAACGAATGGTACGTAGTTCTGTAACTGACTAGATCCAACTCGTCGTTTGGAGATCAAAGTTTTGTTGTATATTGTATTTTTTTTTTTTTTTTTTGGTAATTTTCTTGTTTCTCTATGAAATTTGTGTATAATTTTATAAAGTAATTTTTAATAATTTGTTTTTCTTTAATATGAAAATTGAGCATAATTTGATCATATGGTGTTTGTTGTTGATATAGGCAGTATATTATGGATTCACAATTGAAGTCCCTAATCATTTTTTTTAGTTAAAAAATAAAAAATATAATATGGTAGATTATTTCTTCTCCAGTGACGGTGTCAAAGACCGGAGATATTTCTCTCCGGTGATTAATGTCGTCGACCTTCAGTAAGTATTTTTTAGTTAAAAGTAAAAAATAATATGACATGAAAATAACCTAACAGATTCCTCTTGACGAAAACACCAACTATCAGTGGTTGATGACCAATGTCGGTAATCAGAGATTACCTTTCTAAGGCATTTGGTAAATTATCGGTAGTAATCTTATAGATTACCTTTTTGACCAACCAGGATGATTTTGATAAAAATTTATATTGTCGACTTTTAACTCGTTCATTAAAAGAGCATAAATCCGAATCAGGTAGTAAAAATCCAAAGGTCCCCTCTTTAATTAAGGGATATTCCTCAAGTTTGGTCAACTAAAAAACATCTAGGAGAAACCCGTTTATTTCGCTGATTTGAGTTTGTAATTCGAGTTGAGATGTGATTTTATGTGAGAGCTTTTTACTGTAACAAAAAAGTTAGATGTGACTGTTTTTGAGAATTTTTTACTATAACAAAATTTAAATTTTAAACTCGAATCGGTGAAGTGAACGGAGCCCTGAAATCCTTTTAATCTCGTTCTGTCTACCCTTTGAGTTAGCATTCATCATTTTAGTGGATATAGCATGCCCCATGTGGCGTAATGGGTGGTGGACTGTTTTAAGGAGTGCCCTCCATGCGTCCCCTGCTTTGATATAATGATATTGTCGGTTCCGCAAATATAAACACATATATTTTTCTATCAAGAAAAATAAAGGCACACAAACCATATTCAAACATCAATAAAGAATGGCGGATTGAGAAAAAGTTCTCAATGGGAATAAAAAATGACAAATATAAGATATAATGTTTGTTGAAGGGAGACAGTTAATAAATTTTTACAGGGCACAATTATCATCTTTTTTATTAATTGGGGGCACAATTAATTAATTTTTTAAAAAAATTAGATGCAGGAATTAAATTATAAAATTTAAGTGAGGCACGTGTCACAATCAAGTGCATATGTTAGGATACAATACATTATGTATTTGATATGCCCTCCTCATGACTCATGAACGTGAGTAAAGTTGGAATTGAGGGGTGAAGGATAATAAAAGTATGACCATTAATAATAATATTATTATTATTATTAAAATTGTGAGTTTAGGGTTTCAAAACTTACACTTTCTAATTGAGTAATTGTGCTCCCAATTCTATTGTGGACGAAGGAAGGGAACTGTACTCTCAATTCTGCCTCTTTTTTTTTTTCACCGACAACATTGGAGATATTGTAACTACAAGAACTTTCGTATTTGTTTCAAATTGGCTAATCTTTAGTTGAAATAGGAAGCAAATTAGTTTGAAATTAATTCGTAAAATATTGGTTAACCGGGTTTAATTTAGTACTAGTATATTTGGTAACCTACATTTTCCTTGAGATGTGTTCTTTCTAGATTCACTATGTGGCGCCACAATAAGAGTTCAAAACTTGCTTTTCAATCAGACTAAGAAAAATAAAATTCTGAATTTCTCAAGTTTTAACGGTGAATTTTCGCCAACAAAAACATGCCGGTTTACCTATGGGTTTCCCGTCAGATTACCGGCTTAAAAATAAGTTATGTGTAGGAGTTTAATGTGCCTGTGGTATTTTTTGTGTAGTAGGCAATATAAGAAAAAGAATACTTAAAGCAGAAAAACGCACAAGATTTATAGTGGTTCACTCTTATAAAATGAAGAGCTACATCCACTGTGGTTTGTCATTCCTTTTTTAGAGTGTTACAATTTACAAATTGCTCTTTTGTTATTTCTTTTTCCGGAAAGATCAACCGCTTTTCCGTATGAGGTTTCTCTCCTTTTATAGCCGAGCTTCCTTCGTTGAAGGGGTTTTCTCCTGTAGGCTGAACAAGCACTCAAGTAGTTTGCCTTTCTAGGCCCAGCCCGTAGCCCACTAATCACTTTTTGCGCACTGTTCACTTAGCCAATTAGTCTTCCATTACGGCTCTGTGCACAGCTGTAACCCTTTTCTGTCCCCCGTAGGGGCAGTTTAAGGGTTTGCATTTAAGGCTTGTACTGTGGACATCCCTTATGTAGCTTGCCACGTCAGGCTTTCCCTCAAGGAGCACTCCCCTCGTTGCCAGTGTTGTTTAGCCCAATCCTTCTTCTTGACGGTGGACTTCTATGTTGTAAGGTCGACGGTACGACCTGTCGACGTCAGATGAAATCAACGCCCTAAGTTGGGCTTCTTACTCGGGCTCTAAACGACGGAAGGGAAGGGGGTCCCAGACGTCGAGGGTTCTGCTTTGCAATGAGAGGTTAAGGCCACGTGTCGTGTTGTCCTCCCTCCATGTGTCCTCCAAAGGAAGCAGGGAGCGCAAATCAGAGATTCACAGGGAGAAGTTTAGGGAGAAGTTCAAGCAGAATAACGGTGGTTCTAAGGAATTTGTTTGGAAAGAATGACTTCGGTTTAGAGAATATTTAAAGAAAAATAGGCCCTCGACCCCTGACTGTCAGATGAGGCTTGTGGAGATCCAACGGAGGGGGTAGTTTTCCCAAATCGAACGACAGCAAGGCAAAGGCGAGAAAACGAAGGGGCGCGATCCAAGGGCTCACGTACGTCCTTTCGAAATAAGGCCTCACGTCAGCATAGGGAAGTGACCGACGCGACGGTTGCGTTCCTCAAGAAAATCCGAAGCATCCAAACCATCATTACGGGCGAAGGCTCGAGACCGGTTTCTCACACCCGAAGCACAGAAGGACGAACGAACCTAAGCTCGAGGCTGTCTAAAAGAAACCCTCGACCTGGGGGGTAGCTGTTATGGGGGGAATTATGGAGGACACGTGGAGGGAGGACAACACGACACGTGGCCTTAATCTCTCCTCGCAAAGCAGAACCCTCGACGTTTGGGACCCCCTTCCCTTCCGTCATTTAGAGCCCGAGTAAGAAGCCCAACTTAGGGTATCGATTTCATCTGACGTCGATAGGTCGTACCGTCGACCTTACAACATAGAAGTCCACCGCCAAGAAGAAGGATTGGGCTAAACAACACTGGCGACGAGGGGAATGCTCCTTGAGGGAAAGCCTAACGTGGCAAGCTGCGTAAGGGATGTCCACAGTAGAGGCATTAAATGCAAACCCTTAAACCGCTCCTACGGGGGACAGAAAAGGGTTACAGCTGTGCACAGAGCCGTAATGGGAGACTAATTGCCTGAGTGAATAGTGCGCAAAAAGTGATTAGTGGGCTACGGGCTGGGCCTAGAAAGGCAGACCACTTGAGTGCTTGTTCAACCTACAAGAGAAAATCCCTCCAATGAAGGAAGCTCGGCTATAAAAGGAGAGAAACCTCATACGAAAAAGAGGTTGATCTTTCCGGAAAAAGAAAGAACAAAAGAGCAATTTGTAAATTGTAACACTCTCAAAAAGGAATGACAAACCACAGTGGATGTAGCTCTTCATTTTATAAGAGTGAACCACTATAAATCTTGTGCGTTTCCTGCTTTAAGTACTCTTTTTCTTATATTGCCTACTACACAAAAAATACCACAGGCACATCAAACTCCTACACATAACCTATTTTTAAGTCGGTAATCCGACGGGAAACTCAGAGGTAAACCGGCCTGTTTTTGTTGGCGAAAATTCACCGTCAACACCAAGCATACAGAATTTTTATATAAGACGAATTTGCAAGTAAATGTGCTCTTCAAAAAATAAACAAAATTGTATATCTTTTCAACCAAGGAGCCAAAATTTGGTTTGCAAAAGAATTCTATTCCCTTCCCCAAAAACTTTTAATCAAATCACACACTTTCAAGTGTCATTGCCATTATCCAGTAAGTTCCTCTTTCTCTTTCGTACTAAATAATAACCAAGTCCTCCCAAAACAAGCAGAATAATGAACCCATCAACAATTCCTACCAATATCAATACCCACTTCTTCACATTGGACTTCTCATGAACCCCATGAGTTCCCTTTGGAACCTTAACCATGTAACTCATTCCACTGCGTCTGTCAACCTGTTTAAGCCCCCCAACAAATTCATACAAAAAGCACACTTGTGAATCTTTAGCCCCTGAGGAAAAAGCCGCTGAAGCACATCGACAATCGTCTAAGCACAACTTTTCACATTCCTCTTTGCTAACATTCACTCTTTTAGGAGCAACTCTAAGCACACTACTAACATCCTTCAACTCAAGCATCTCCACCCCGTTGCCTTCACCGCCACAAAACCCTCTCGGGAAACCTCCGTCGCAATTCGAACCGACCCCATCTTCCCGAATGCACGAGCAAGCGTTCGAAAAAGTGCAAATTCCATAAGGCTTGCAGGCCAAAGGGAGATCACAAGTTGTGTTGAGCGCTTGAAAGGAGGCCTCAAATTGTGCTTTGCTTGGAGAGTAAAAGTATAGTCCCAAGTTGCCTGTCCTGTTCCCCAATGCGAGGAACCGAAGAGGCTGAAAAACATGGGACGGAATCTGCGCGATTTTCTTGTGTTTATCATTGAACAACATTAGTCCCTTCGAACCCAATTCAATAAACGTGATGTTTCTGTTCTTGGAAGCCTTAAATTCCCAGTAGGAGTAGTTTAACTTACCAATGTTTAAATAGACTGCAATTCTGTTGTTCTCAATTTGCAACGAGTAAAATGAGGTAGAATTTGTAGGAAAAGAAGTCAACCGAGTGGCAACGTTGAGTTTCTGTCCCCAAAGCATCACATCCGTTGGGAAATTGAAGCTCTGCCACTTTATACGGTTCAAGGCGTCAACCAGGACTAGATTGCCTGTCTTTAGTATCTGCAACCTCTGCATCAAAATTAAGAAAACATTCATTTAAGAAAAAAAGGGAAATAACATTACTAAAATATATCAAAATCCGCAGTAATGAAGTCAGCTATCTTATCGGTAGTACACGTTCTTCGAAAATTAAATAATTTGGGAATCTGTCAATATGTAATATTTTATTTTTCCCGAACATAATATTCAAAAAACTCTAACAACATCTCAATTAGATTGGGCACTCTCTTAAATCTTTCCTAATTATAAAATCTAATAGTTATAAACATGGACATCCAAATTACAAATCTGGGTTTTTTTTTTTAAACCCTAGAGCGAATCACAAAAGTGTATGTGAGAAATAGAGTTAACAACACTTTCAACTTGTGGTGACATTTTTTTTTTCTGTTTTTCTTTTCTAATGTGTAATATTTAGCTAAAGAAATATCCCACCACAATACTCTCCAAAATATCAAATATAGAGAAACAACAATTTCATATATTCTACTGAAGAGGCAAAATTCTCCAAATACCCAATCTCAATTCAGAATTACGGCAATTCTAATTTTGTAGCAACATTTTTAATTCTACACACACAATTACCCAACATAAAGTAAAAACAACCTCAAATCAATTTGTAGTAGCAACTTTTTTGTTCCTTTTTTTCAAATGTGAATACTTTTGCTTTAGTTTTACCTGCACACCTTGTCCAGAAGTACCAGTTCTCCATCCCACTCTCTCTTTTGGACCCTTCAACCTCAAATCTCCATCACCAGTCAGCTCAAGAACACACTTATTCGACACGTAAAATCTCGAATAATGCCCGGAATTCCAGACTCTGACATCTCCGAGGAACACTTCCAAGGAACAAGAGAACTTCCCTTCAATGGCTTCAACACTCAATGCCACTTTGAAATTTGGTTCCATTTTGTTGTTCTCCATCACAAAAGCTCTCCCAATGAATCCCATGTTGTACTCCTCAGGCACAGCTAGTGTGAAGTAATAATTGAGATTGATATCTGATTTTGAGTAGACATAGCTGAACAATAGGATGAGAGAGCAAATGAATGAATAGAGCTGCATGAGAGAGAATTCTACTCTCAAATATTTGTCACTTTTGGTGCTATTTCTCTAGTGGGTTTGCAAATCAACATTGGGATTTTCTTGGCAAGTATTTTTTGGTGAGAGAAAGTGGAACTTTTGCAAGACTTCCCCAATCCCCACTACCAAAAAGTTAATGAGCTTTTAATATTAGCTTGTTTGTTATAGCTAATACCATATGTGCTAATGATGGGCGTTATTCCAATGAATTGTCAAATTTTATTTTTTTAGTAATTCAGTGCAACTGCTTAAAGTAGTCATAATTAATGGACTAAACAGGCGTACGGATACAGGGTGTCCACGGGAAAATGTGCTTTTGAGTGTAATATCTGAAATGAAACATTATTGAATTTGCTAAAGAAAAAAGCAATGGCGCCAAATTTTTATACCAATTCTTATTAACCAACTTTATCAGTAATTTACTAACTACACAAAAGCAACTTCTATAAAAGAATGTGTGGTATAAAATCGAGAAGAAAATGAAAATCAATGAAAATGAGAATCAATCAAACTATTGAGAAAGGAGCGAGAATCACCAAAAATAGAAGTAAAATAACTCAATTGCTAAAATGTCACTGAATTCTAAATCATCTAGATTCAAGCGCTTACCTTTTTATTTTGTTATACATTAGTAGAAAGGGCTTTAAAAGTTTAAAGCATACGGGTCCCAAAAAAATCCACTGCTAATTGCCTCGGTAGACACAAAAGATTATAATCGTCTCTAATATTAAACTTACCACTTGATTGTTTCAAAAACAAAAAAAAAAAACTTGCAACTTGACGGTTTTTCTTTTTTTCCAAAGAAATTAAAGATGGGTTAGTGAGTGCGTTACCTTTTTGCAGGACTCAATAGTGAGTGCTCAAGTTCTGCAGGAGTGGCCAGTGGGACTGGGGGAGCATAATCCTTTAAAGTGGGACCCGATCCATCTAATTTGCTTTGGGTCATTGAGTACACTGGGTCTCATCCGGAGTGGGACCAGAGGAATTGTTGTTGCTAACACGTGTCTTCAGCTGACTCTCTTCCGACGCTTGAATGACGTCTTAGTTTCCCATGTTCAACTGGGCTATTCAGTTCTAGCCTGCAGTTAGAGGGCCGTTTCAATTGGGCTTTAGCCCTCTCCTTACATGGATTCTAGCGTTGGATTGACTTGAAAAAAGAAAAAAAATGGAGAATTTAAAGCGTATGGAATAAATATTTTTTTAATGTAATTATTTAATTAAAAAAATTATAAATTAAAATAAATTATTTTAATTCATACACTTTTAAGATATATTTATTAAGATTATGAAAAAAAAAAAAATTCAATTCTAAAAATTAGAGTCACGCCATCATGCCATACTTGAATACCAAATGTATTATTAAGATACCGTCCGATATCCACCGTAAAACTGACCACGATACTGGTGTCCAGCCGAGATACCAAACAGTATCCAGTCACGATACTGGGCGGCAACCACTGGAATTGGTGGCTGTTTGGACGTTGTAGTCTCCTAAAAATGTATAAATTAAAAGAAAAAATAATCAAAATCACAAAATAACTAGATACCAGTATCTGTCTGTGATACCAGTCGTATCCCATCGCAATACTGGGCGATAACCGCCAATACCGACGGCGCCACAGCCGTTAAACACCAACATGTTCACAAAAGTTCCACAACCACATATCAAAACTTACAAAATTTCAAAAAAAAAATCCCATTGTCGTGGACATAGAAACGACACAGAACCAGATTAGTGACTAAGCCAATGAGGCAAATCTCCTCTTTGGCTCAGGCATGTTGCCGGTGTAGCGTAACAACAGTGGCGTGAGAAGGAGGGATGGAGGTTACAGACGTTCGACACCTGAGAGAGAGAGAGAGAGAGAGAGAGAGAGGGAGGCAGGGTATTTGTCTCCTTTTTCTGATTTTGGTTCTGCCACATGACAGAAAAAGTAAACGGTTTTTCACCCCTGGCATAACTTGATCCGCACCCCGTTTCTATGGCAGCCTGGCAGGCATCGTAATTATCCTTGTCACAATCAAACTACATGACAAATTTATTTCCTCGTTATTTATGAGAGTGGGAGTTGAGATATTTTAGGAAAAACAAAAATTCTATAGTAATTATTTTAAAGACTTTCATGTTTGCTCTATAAAATGACATAGTAATTATTTTAAAGATATTAACTTTACTATTTCATAAAGTTTTTTAATTTTTATGTTATATTTCAATATAACTTGTAAAATTTTACTACATATCTAAAAAGCCCTTTAGCTATTCACCAAAAAAAAAAAAAAAAAAAAGCGCCCCTTAGCTTTGGTGGAATAGGACTCAATTGTAAGAGAGACATTAATTTGAGTAAACTTTTTTTTTTCTTTTTTCATGAAGTGTGACTAAAAGTTATACTACATGCCATGTGGAATTGAAATATATAATAAATTTTTTGTTTTAGGAATAGGAAATTACACAAGTAATAATTATTATAATAGTTGTCACTTTCTATATAACAAAATATGTACTCATTATTTAATGATTTTAGTTTTTACTATTTAAACAATATTCTAATTTTTTTTTATTATATTTCAAGATTATACCATTTGTCTAAGTCATCCCGAATTTATTGACCTCTGAATTATGATCATGTGTCACTTTGATCTCCAAATTAACTTTTTGTTTGGCAATTTTTGATACCTAATACCAAGTTTCATTTTTGAAGGATTTCTAATATTCAACATAGATAATCACTTGCCATTTTGCAGGTTAACATTGTGAAAAGCTGTTGGAAAATTAGCTTTGGGCCTGGGAGATTTTACCAGCCAGGGTACACAAAAAGGAGCAAAAGTTCGTCTACAAATGATGTGCCTTGGCCTCAACTGGGATCCTCAAACAAGAAAAGATGCAGACCGGCAACCACTCGACGGAAAGTGATATATTAATCTGAAGTATTATGACTATGTGATATATGATTAGGGACTTTCTCTGATAATCTCTGGACAAAGTAAATGTTACCAAAAAAACAAAAAATTAGAAAGCGATTTATTAATCTGAAGTATTATGAGTAGGTGAAGTATGATTAGGGATTTTCTCTGATAGTCCATGCAAAAATGGACTACCGATAGTCCCTTATTTTTAAGTCATTAGATATGTTTCAGTAACAGAATTTCTCTATTCTGCATATTTTCTCAATCTAATGTGATTTTGACCAGATCTAACGGTCAAAAACTAGGACTACCGATAGATGGGCTACTAGAGAAACTCCCATATGATTAATTGAATTAAAACTAAAGCCTTAGAAATTGTCTTTTTGGAGTACAAGTTTATGTTGATGTAGGTTGAATTCTCTTCAACAACTTGGACAATGTTAGTATCAATGTTATATTTGTCACAAAAAAAATGAAAATAACCTATAATGGTATTTCAAATATTGCATCCACTTTTTGTGATAATTATTGATTTTTCTTATACATAACATCGGATTGAATTCGCAACCTCTCTCAAAACTCTACCTCACTTGAACTCCCTGTGCCACTAGACCAAGCAGTCTTAGGCATAAAATTAAAGTAATTTAAAATAACAATGTTGTGATAATTAAATGAGAAAGTTCATACATCAACTAATAACAATCAAATGTCAAAATTTCCATATGTTATATTTAGTGTCAAATTTGCTACCAAGTATAGTATTTATCAAATTTAGCCTCAAAAATAGTATTGCATTGGAGGATTTTTTTTTTCAACTCAAATGTTAAAAGTTTTCGTTGACATGTCAATTTGGTTTGCTCTTATGAGAGATATATGCTATTCATCTTTACAGAAAAAAATAAGAAATTTCGTTGAAACTTGATCTGTTGTTGATTGGTTATATTCTCATCAACATGTTCTGGATTTATCGGACAGTTCTTTTTCACCACGTCTTCTCTTATATACAGGTGTTAGGTTACCAAATCTCCCTTTATTTATCTTGGTCCAGATGCTTTTATAAAATAGTAATGCTCTTAATCAAACACTCCAACTAAAACAAATAAACCATTAGTATACTACCTTTCAATTAACGACTCACTTAAAAAAAAAAAAAAAAAAAAAAAAAGGTCTCACATGGTCCCATAAACTGACCATTAATTATTGTCAATTGGACGTCAGTAACAACTTTATGATTTTAAATTCATCAAAAAAGAAAAAGAAAAGAAACTTGATGATGTTATTTTTTTTAATAGTGAACAGTAAGAGATTTTATGGTTACCATTTGAGAGTTGAAAATTATTGGATTAGACACGGCACTTAGTATTATTCTAATGAACTATGTGTCGCAAATAATAAAAGTTTCAAAAAGTAAAGTTCAATTGAGAGAATATCTTTTGTGCTTAATCTGAGTCATGAAGTTGATATTATCGATATTTTGCAGGACCGCGATGAGAGCAGAGGTAGAATATAGTATCAATAACGGACTACCGGCAGTCTCAATTTCAGCGGGAGATTCAGCTGAATTTCTCTATGCCAGATCAGGGATGTGGATATGGCAGAGGTCAATCCGGACAAATATTCCTTCCATGGCGTCCCTTTGATTATATCAAATTATGCTCCTAATAATTAGTGAATATTTCAACATATTTGACTTCGCTCTGGCAATCTCAATCTCACCTTCGGAAAATACTAGAATCTCAAAATCTTCCTACCACGGTTCTTGAATACTTGCATAGATATCGCAACGTTTTAACGTATTAGATTGGAATATTTACTATTTTATATTATGTATTTTTAGCTAATAGAAAACGTATGCCTGTATTTTTTTATGTTCTCATAATAATTGTACTTCTAAATTTTGATTCATGTTAAAATTTTTTTTTTTTTAGGTCAACAACTAATTTTGGACCCCCTAGTTCATGACTATAAATTAACTTTATATTTTACGGATAAACTGGTACTGAAACACTAGTTGGTGAAATTACCCTTTGCAACTTAGCTTAAAAAACCATAGTCGCATTTTTTTAAAAAAACATAAGTCTTTATTTGTTATTTGTTGCATGATCCTCTGTAAGTTATAAAGAG